CACATATACAATATAGAATTTAGGGACTTCCCTCATCTTTGCTATCAGAATTACCTCAAAAACTTACATTAGATTTGTCAAATATAATCTGGGCTTCACGGGTCAGTGAAGATTGTTCTTGATCAATTTATTCTCCTCCTTGCAGGGAAAACATTCTAAAGAGGAAAGAACTGACCCCTATATTCCCAATTGTTCTGGGAATCAATACTTTTTTTTTAAAAAAGTTTAAAAACTGCCATTTCACATTGTAAGATGAGGCATTTCGGAGAAGAGGAACAGGAACCCTAAACGTCACATTGCTTTTGATTTACAAATCTCCTCCCCAGTTATAATTTCCTGTAAAATAAATGAATTCTGTAAATAATGTCATTGGGCAGAAACAACCATGATTGATGCAACAAATGCTTTCATAGACTTGTGAGTTATTTGTATATTAGTGTCAATAAGCAAAGTTAGGGGCTGGGTCAGAAGCACTGACAAACGCCATCTGTTCCTCCGTGACAATTACAGCACTTATGTTTCAGCATTTTATGGGTGTTGCAGAAGAGATGGTCGAGGACGCAGTGACAGACAGAAGCAGGTGATTACCCCACAAACGGGTCACAGTTACTGTACTGCAGATTCCACATGATGCTGCGTTTTCGCAGATATTTTATTCACAGTTAATGCTACCAGGAGGTGAGAAAGAAGCGCTAAGCTTCGATAAAGGCGGTAAAAATGGGAGCTGAGGGGGTTGAGGAGTAAGAATGCTGACCAAAATCGTGGTCAGAGAGGTAGGACTGGAGATGGACCTTGAACAGGTGGGGGAACGAGCAAGCGAAGGAGAGGGTAGGGTAGGGGATATGAGGCCTGTTGAGCAAAGGGAGTGGCTGGGTCAGTACTGTTTGAGAAACTTGCAGAGATAAGGTGGGATGAAACTATAGAGGGATTTAGAGGTGAGAACAAGGACCGTTAACTTGTTCCACTGGGGGATGGGAATCAAAGTGGCTGGGTGAAGATTGGGGTGATAGTGAAGGAAGGAAAGGCTGTAGTTTGCAGCTTGTGTAGGGAAGAGCTGTGGAGTGAACAAATGCTATTTGTTAACATAATTTAAGCTACATGCTTTTTCCTAAACAACTGATAGCTTAAGTGAGAGCAATGCTTGCTCAAAGTATTTTTAATCCGAAATACTTGCCTGGAAAGGTCTAAGAATTAATTATTGAATTTTCTTTTACTGTAAGCAAAACCTCAAAGGACAGCTGCCACATTATTGGGTGGAAAATACCCGATTATATAACGTATCCAACAGTCCAGCCTCTATCTAGCCAGTTGTTATGAAACGCAATAGAAAACCTCAGGAGGTCAGGAGCTTTCAGTTACATTCTCACACAAGGATTGACAAATCAGATCAGAGACTCAAAGGCTCACACAGAGCAGATCTCCACAAGATGCAGTATCTTCTTTCAAGAAGTAGGCCTTTTCCAACACTCTTCTCTTCCCTTCTCCTAAATTCTTGTCTGACTGCGGAATATTGCTCTCAATTAACTGCTACCGTTAATAATTAACAGTTAAACTCTGCAAGGGGTCTTGACTTTTATTTCAATTGATCAAAATCAGATTAGAAAGGCTAGCAGTCCTGACAGTCAACTCCATGAAAACTAAACCAAAGAGAAAAAAAAACCCTCAGCAACTATCATATCTTCGAGACGTCTCAAAGCGCTTCACAGACTACACTATTTTGAACTATAGTGTAACTTCATTGAAACCCATCATATGGAACTTCTATTAAGCAACACAAAACTGAATGGACAAAACCACAGCAGATCCAAGCTGCCAGTAACTGGTAGTGCCATTTTAGGCTGCACACAAAGTCGTACTGAGAATAAGGGAGGAGGAGCAAGCGGCCATGTGGATGATGGTATTGTTAACCGATATGTTTTCAGAAGACTGCATTCAAATTTGTATCAGAACTGTTCAAGCCAATTCCATCAACAGCGCTTGTGACACTATTTGATTATAGCTACGTTACACTCCTAAAGAAATTATCCCTGAGGCTGGGGATCAAACTCATAAAATCCTCATAAAGTCCGTCAGTGTTTCGCAAATCTCCTGCCTTGTCTCCCTAAGTACCCGGGGGTACAGTATGTGGATTCCTCAATGACTGTAGAAAAGTTGAAGGGAAACAGGTTAGTAACCGACAAGAGCTATAGTAGATGTCTGTAGAATAAAACAAATGTGCAAAGCGCCTTGAGATGTCTTGACGACGTGATAAAGTATTATATCAAGGATTATTATTATCATAAAGAGCCAACATTTAAGGAGGAAGGAAAAGGAAGGGCTGAAGTTACTCAATAAGTCAAGAGAATCAAGATTTAAATTCCTCCTGACCGACATGAATTTGTATTCCAGTTCTGATTGTGCTACAAGCAAAGTGGCTCCATGACAGAAAGGCACTCCATCTTTGGGAAGGAAGGAAAGCTGTTAGGACTAGTCCCACTCTTCACGAGCACAGCTTCTGCTGGCTGCTGATTAAATGATTTATTTGCGGTAGCCATAAAGAATCTGCACCCGAGATCTCTGGCAAGAGGAAATCCTGTCGGAGTCCTGTAGCTCAGTGGTTAGAGCACTCGCTTTGCAAGCGAGAGACCTGAGTTCAATTCCAGGCAGAGGGCGAAACCTTGGGCAAGTTTCCTTACTCCACACAGAGCCTAATAATAATCTCTCCAAAACCAAAAACAATAATAAATTGGTCATTTTCAATCTACGACTGTTTGTGGGACATTGTTGTGCGCAATTGGCTGCCGCGTTTGCCCACAAATATACAGTCAATTCACTTTACAGTGTGTTCTGTGAAGCGCTTTGGGACGTCCTCCCGACGTGAAAAGCGCTATATTAAATGCAAGGATTATTATTATTATTATTATTAAATGCAACAGCGTGGAACTAAATATAAAGTTAGAGGAATAGTTTATCTTGAAAGCCCCTTCCTGCAGCTAAGAAACTGTACATGCGTAATTTTTCTTATCATGTAGGCAATCTATCATACCACCAAATAAATTTATTTGAAAATATCCCAGTTATCTCTGAATAGGGCGTCAATGTAGTTATTTGTGGTGCAAAAGTAACTGCCTTGTTAAAAGTCCCATTTGAAAACTGAATAACCTATCCTTTAAGTTTGAGGACTCTTTGGTTTGATTCAGTGCACAAATTGTCTGCCCCATTTGCCAACAAAATACAGTCACATCACTTTATAGTGGATCCTGTGAAGCACTTTGAGACAATGTGATAAGGCGCAATATTAAGTGCAAGGACTGTTTATTAATTAGTGATTGTAATAGCTTATTTCGCTTTGCAGGCATACAAACATTCCAGAGTAAAAAAAGCACATAACCCCTTATGTCCCGAGTTAAAAAAAACAGCACCTCGCCCTTACATCACAAGTCGATACACTTCCTGTGTGTTTGCCACCTCCGGTACAAAAAAAAATCACCACAAGTCAAATAGTCACCTCTGCTTCCTGTATGCCACTAATGCGCTATGCAGGAAATAGCAAAAATTTATATAGAGCGTATGTCATGGAAATAGGCCATTTGGCCCAACTTGTGCATGCCAGTGTTTAGAAACATAGAAACAGGAGAAGGCCATTCAGCCCCTCGAGCCTGTTCCGCCATTCTATAAGATCACGGCTGATCTGTACCTCAACTCCAATTACCTGCCTTTTGCCCCATATCCTTTGATACCCTGACCTAACAAATATCTAGCCACCTCGTCTTGAAAATGTGAATGGAAATGTTTGTACTCCACAGGAGTCTCCACCCAATACTTATTCAGTTCAATAACCTTGTATTGCTATCCCTCTCATGTGTATATCAAGCTTCCTCTTAACATGTCTACACTTTCTGATTTAACCATGGCTTTGAGCATCGAGTTCCCCATTTGTGGAGTAGTTCCTACTAAATTCTCCTTTAGATCTCCTCGTTGCTACCTTAGACTTGGGTCCCCGGGTTACAAACTCCCCGAGAGGTGGAAACATTTTTTATGCTAACATTGTCAAACCCTTTTATAATGTTGAACATCTCTATTAAGTTCATGTAACCTGCCAGCTCTGGTATTATCCTAGTAATCTAACTCTGTACCCTTTCCATCGCTGTTTATTTTGTAGTCAACTTTTAGTGTGTGGGAAGCCAAAATGGTCGTCTTCCAGATCACCATGTGTCAGGCTGTCACCTATGTGTCAGAGAGTTGTGGTTTCAAGTCCTACATCAGCACCTTGAACTCATAGTCTATGCTAACACGCCAATGGAATGCTGATAACATGGTCATTCACTTCATGACCGTAAAGGGGACATGACTGTGCACAAAATTGGCTGGCAAGACACAGTCATTACACGTTACAATAACTCCTATGAAACACTTCGGGACACATCCTTTTATCACACATGCAATAAAATAAGTCTATTAAAAAAAATGTAGGTATGACATTTAATTTGTCTCGTCTTGCTATGCTTTGTTATTTCCTCTGCCAATCCCTACAGTCTCTATTCATATTGCAGCGCATTTCTATGGATGGCAGGGACTTTCTGATATCTCATCCAAGCACACATTCTTCCTAATGTGAGAATGACCAGTGAATGCCACACAGTAGTGCTTAATCCTTTCCTTGCCAGACAGTGTGAGATGATTAGTGAACGAAGGCAGACTATTTCACCGACAGTTGTCTTTGGGGTCACACGCACACTTTCCTCCAGGATACCAATTAGAATAGAAAATGTCTCTCCTCCCTTGTCCAGGACAAACTGTAACACTATTACCACTGTCCAGCTGAGATCAGCTAAGTTATGACAATCGAAGGATCAAACCTTATTTACAGTCCTGTCTCGCTTTCAGAGCAAGGATCGGCTTCATCAACTGAGCCATCGGGAAAGCCTTCAGTGTGATTTATCCACATATAATCAATAAACAGTGCGCAGACATTGTGAAAGCACTATAAACAACTCTCAATATGCTTATAGCAACTGTACCTTTATGAGATGTTTGTTGACCCATTTTGTGAACGTCTTTTTCTGCACTCTGTCCCGCTCATCTATAAAAGAAGAGTACATTTTAGTTTACAGTGTTAACAGGGGGAAGGAAGGGGAAAGAGGAAGTGAAAAATATTTAAATACCTAAATATAATATATAAATAAGCAGTGTTTCAATTTTCACAAAGGATCTGGTTCTGAAATGGTTAAGAAATTCAAGTTCAATGTGATAATATAATCTAGGTCTATTTTCTGCAATTCTGTAAAGATTTCCTTTTCGTTTTGTTACAGACATCACCTCCGAACCTATTTCTAGTCGTGATACCAGCCCAACAACAAGAGCTGTATTCGTGCAAATGAAATCCAGCCTTCCAATAACAGAGTTAAGTCCTCTACAATGTGCTTTTCTTGTGACAAAAGTAAAGTTCGGTCAGAAAAGCTCTTCAGTGAATGCAATAAATGTAATATGAATAAATCAATATTGCTGCATTGTCAAAAACTGTCTTTTGCAACCAGTTCTCAGTTGTTTCATCAAGGTAATCAACTGTAATATGTTCCTACTCTAATGTTGATTACCACACGTGGACACATTGCCTTTCGTCAAGGGCATTTACAATGTGCAACAGCTGACATGGACTTAATACCATTCATCTCTGACACCTCCCCCACTGCCATGATGTGTCATCTGTGTAAAAGCCCTTGTATAATTCCCCTCTCCATAAAAATATTCCCAGAATCACAACGGGGACAGATATATGTGTAAAATTGCTTTGACCATTTGGGTCTGATAGAATTATTTGACACCACTGTTTTGCTGCAGCATTTCATTCTTCCCCCTCAACCTCTGTGGGCTAAACTGTCTGGGTTACAGCCCCACACCAAGACTTGTTTAGGATCCAGTTTACAAATCAGTAGTAAATGAGCACACAGCATTATTAACCATTAAGCACCATAGCACACAATGCCTTGTGGCACTTGTCAATCTGATGTATTCAACTCTTTAAAAGGAGTGCATTTTAATGATTAAATATCATGACCACTTTCAAAAAAGCTGGTTGGCAATCTCACTGCGTGCACAATGTCAAAACTGGGTACCACTCATGTGTGTTTAAATACAATCAAGTCTACTTTAAGGAAAACCGTGCGAGAAAAAAAATTAACTTTAAAGTTTAAACTTCTAAAATGAGCATTTTCAAAATGATGACTTATTGAGTTAAAAAAAAACTTTCAATTGAATCTTCAAATTCAGCTTTTTTTACTGTCCAATATCACACCTTAGATGATGGGCAGGTAATAATAATAATCCTTGCATTTGATATAGCGCCCAATCATGTCTTCTAGATGTCTCAAAGCGCTTCACAGAATATACTGTATTATTATAGCTAAGAGGACATCACACAAACGCACAAAGAGGTGACTGGCTGTCACTGTAAAGTCTTTGATTAGGGATTATGTATTGAATTGTACATGAAAGTTAAAGGTTTGAAGGTCTGGTCAGTGGATTTGTATAGTTTGCTCAGAGAGCTGGTCCAGATTTGATGGACCAAATTGTTGGACCTCCTTCTGCTCTTTAAATGTCTCTGATTCTATGAATTCACAATCCGTATATATTCATTCAAATAATTTTTTCTAGTTCCAATGTTTTAAACTCAAAGAAACTGGAAAACAATACTTTAATTTGATCCAGAAACATAATGTGATGTAGTTCTGTTATATAAACGCACGCAGTTGGCCAATCTACACAGATAATCCCCCAAAACATAAATATGGTGAATGACCGACTTTTGCTGAATGCGGATCAGACAGAAATATATATTTTTTTGGGGGGAGGAGGGGGGGGAGGAGATCCATCACTGTGCTTAAAGCATTCTCCAAACCAAGCTGAGATTTCCATGCATTCCATTAACACATTAACCAGAGGTAGATTGTTGGGAGGGATGCATCCTGCTTACAACAACAACAACTTGGATGTATATAGCGCCCTCCACACCGGACGGCGTCTCAGAGCGGTTCACAGTAACGGATCCCGGGGCCGAGCCGGGGGGGGGGAGGGGGTTGAAGGTGATCAAAGGCACAGTCGAAAAGAAAAGTCTTCAGCAGAGACCTGAAAGTAGGAAGAGAAGGGGCGAGGCGAAGGGAGTGAGGAAGGGAGTTCCAGAGACTCAGGGCGCAGTGGCTGAAGGCGCAGCCGCCGAGGGTGGAGCGGAGGACTCGGGGGACGAGGAGGAGGCCAGACCCGGAGGAACGAAGAACGTAATTCCAGAAAGTATTAGGTGAAGGTTGGCAAGAGCCACGGCTTGAGGAGAGCCCAGAGTGTGCGTTGCGGTAACTGTTAAGAGTCCAATCAGCTAAACCCACATAGCTTGCCATTAAAATGCCTAGATTCACTTCGAAATTATACCATTGATTGTAATATTGATCTGATCAGGCAAAAAGGGCCGCTCAGTTTAACATATCAACCGAAGATTGACAGATCCAATATTGTAGCATGCCCTTAGTATTATATTGAATCATCAGTCATCATAGATTATGTGCTCAAGTCCTGGTTTATGATGGGCTTGAATCCACAATCTAAAGGCCCAGAGTGCTTCAAACCGACCAAATGGACAAGTAGAATGAACAATTACAAGACTTTAGGGAAATTAAATAGTACTGTCGAGCTAATTAACATTTGCAGAAATTAGGGAGGTAGTGGTTTCATTTGTAGATTCTCTACACGAAGCTCATTTTGCAATAAATTGATATACAGCACTAATGTATTGATCACCAAATTAATCAAGAATCTCAGATGCACTATAATAATAATCCTTGCATTTGATACAGCGCCTTATCGGGTCTTCGAGACGTCTCAAAGCGCTTCACAGAATATACTGTAAAGTGAATTGACTGTATATTTTGGGGGCGAAACGCGGCAGCCGATTGCGCACAGCAGCGTCCCCACAAACAGTCGTGGATTGAACAACCAAATTATTATTATTTTTTTTGAAGAGATTATTAACCCCGAAAGGCGATCCGCCAATCAACAGGTTCCTATTACAGAGGCGTGCAATAATGGAAATAACATCAACAAATAATGAAAAATCACTGTACTGACCCATGCAGCACATCAAGGAGATGAGACTTGCATTGAATTCTCGGTCATTGTCATACAAACCCCACATCCTAGCAGCCCGCTGGGCAGTCATTGCGTGTGTTCTGTCTTCTTACTCGTGCTGTGAGCTCAAGATTCTTGTGCATCGGAATGCAGCTGTGGTGCAATGAACCACAAGGATGGTGCAAGACGGCATGAACACCCTACGTCCTGCAAACTTTGAGGGTTTCTTCTCCTTGTGCGTGGCGTACAGTTAAAGCGGAGTGATACCAAGTCTCTCCTCCTTAAATCTCGTCCAAATCGGCCACCTCAAAAGAAGTCGGCGTGAGGGTGAACAGGTGTACGATGATAAGTCATCTCGCAGACTGAACATAAAATCTCTCGCCGCGAGGTCAGAAAGGGATGAATTTAAAGTCTTTTTCAAACAGCAGAGGCAGGGGACCAAAAAACAAGTCTCATTGCAAAATACAAAATAAAATTGTTCAGTGCATCTGTGCTATGCCAACAGTTAGTACACACTTCCTATTCAGGCTCGCCTCACAGTTGTCCAGCTGCCAAAGAATTACAGTCAAATTAAAAACTCAAAAGAAAGGATCTGATGTATCGATGTTCTTCAGCAATTGTATTCCAAGTGACCCACATACTGAAGCCAAATCAGACATGCAGAAGGCACAGGCTGCAACCATTTCCCTTTCTCTTGCTTCGTACTGATAACAGTGACAATAAACTGCTCAAGGCTATAAATACCTTTCCCAGCTTGCGTATTAAGCAGCAAGCCTTTATTCCAGTATGACTAATCTTGTCTAACTTCTCTGCTGAATTCACCTGCCATTGCTGCAGTTGTCTGTGCTGCTGCACTGCTTCATGTCAGCTCACACAACCCTCCTTAAAACATGGAGGTCTAACGTCATTTCCTCAAAACAGAAAGTGATTCAGTGAAGTCTTATAATGCGACTTAATGCGAGTCACTTAAGTTAATGAATAAAAAGGACTCCAGTGCAGACAAAAAAACAAGGAAAGCCCCAGGTGAGTAATACTAAGAAATTAGCAATGGGGATATTTTTCATTAAAACAGTAAATAGTCAGAATAATCCTTGCATTTGACGTAGCGCCTTATCGCAGCGTTGAGACGTCTCAAAGCGCTTCACAGAATATACTATAGAGTGGAGTGACTGTGTATTTTGTGGGCGAAACGCGGCAGCCAATTGCGTTTTTCACAAAGATGCCACTTTTCTCAAATTATAGCATTAAGGCTAATTACGAAATTAACTCAATTCACAGGAAGTTATTTTTTCCACTGGAAAGTCTCTCTTTCTGCAAAAAAAAGATGATTGTTGAATGAACATCTGATGGTATTGAACATCTCTTTACTACTGGTTCTTGAACAAAATTTAAAACCTTCAGCACCACAAAAAAGTTCCATTATATTGAATTTTCGGCCGCAAAATACAGTCAATTCACTTTACAATATATTCAGTGAAGTGTTTTGAGACGTCTCGGTGATGTGATAAGGCGCTGTGTCAAATGCACGGAGTATTATTCATTATTATTATTCCTTAAGACCCATCTTGGAGTCGTTTTATGAATGTAAATTACCCACTAGCCTTTTACTATTCTACCATTGCTCCTATTTCTAAAATAGAATTTATGCTGCAGTCTACCTCTTCACAGGCTTTCAGAGATGGTGCCATTCTGGTAGATTACTGCAGCAAAGGCGTACGGATTCAAGGCCCATTTTATAAAACAGTCGGAGAAAAATAGAATATTTAAAAATCACAAGCTTATATTTTTGGCGACTGTTTGGAAATGCTATTATGTAAGTGTTGGACAACTATGTTGATAAGGAATGGCAGATTTCAAATCAAGATTGGATGTAGCGAGCCAAGCAGCATTTTTTTTTTCACGTTGGTAAATGAAAAGCATTGTAGATGTACAACACACAATGCAGAACTGACAGACTCCCTAAGGCAG